AACCAAAAATACAATTTTTACCATTTAAGAATAAGCTTCTCGCAGCTTTGAAGTCTATGTCTATAATCTGGCCTCAGTGCCTCAACTGCTCAATCAGGTCTTTAAGTCGAGACGATTAAAATCAGAAGAACTCTGTTAGTGACAACTGTGTTTCCCACGTGACTTTCACGTTGGTAACCTTACAACACCAACATGGTGGTCGTCAAACTCCAAAAGACTAATAAGAAGAGAGAGAGAGAGAGATGTCACCAAAGTCCAACAGATCAATGAGAAGGGCGATAACATAGAATAACATGGTGGCAAAACTAGAGAAATGTCACCAAAGTCCAGTAGACCAATGAAAAGAGAAGTATACAGAATAACATGGTGGCAAAACTAGAGAAATATTACACAATTAAGGTCACGTTTTAATGTAAGTGAAATAGTGTGTTTCTTCAGTAAAAATTATATTAAGCGAAATCGTGAATTTTGTGATAATTTAAAACACACACACACACATATATATATATATATATATATAAACGTCAATAGTACAAGATACCACACTGCGATATTTCATTTTTGGATACACTGATAAACATCTTGATGGTATAAAACTTTGGTTTCACTATTACATTTTATGGCATTTGAATGATAAATTAAGTCTAATCATTTCAGGTTTCATCAAAGGGTAGACATGTTAAAGAGGTAAGTACTAAAAAATGGAAACAGGTTAGACTGTCATAGCTTCCTTAAAATGTGATTGACATATTTTAATTCAAATGATTTATTCTAGTCCAGTTTGAATAACCCTGTACTAACTTATAAAACCAAAATGTGATTGACATATTTTAACTCAAATGGTTCACTCTAATTCACTTTGTCTAACTCTTTATTAACTTATTTTAACTCAAGTGGTTTGGTTCATCTACTTCAGCTTATTTAACCCTTTATCAACTTACAAAAATCGTTATAACCTGTCCTAATATAACATTTTATTCAATGGAAAACGTTATTGTGTATGAGCCACATATATCTATCCATATGTTTTGACCTAAAACGAACTTTGTGCAGTTGAGTGATATTGTAGTAATTGTTTTTTTTTATTTTAGTGTTATAAAAAAGTAATACCTAGTACGACTACCATATTCTGATGCATAGAACAAGTGAACAACTTTGAGTGACAAATCCAAACCAACAAATATCGTTCCTGATAGGCTGAACATGGCACAATGGTTAGCATTCTGGACTGTGGATCTTTAGATCCAACAATTGCGTCCTGTTACCGCAAAAGAAATAAAAAATGCTCACTATTCGGACGGACAAGAGTAACCTAAGAATTAGTGGTGGTTGTTGTTGAATGGCTACCCCCCTAGTTTGTCACTTCAAAATTACGAACAGGTGGCGCATATAGTCCTTAGGGTACCTTGCACGAATATCCGAAAACAACAACGAAAACATTCCCGATAGTTCACGCGATCCGAGTTTACAACTTTACTGAGGTTCCACGCTTTTATGAAACCCCAAGCAATAACACTACTTTCTAGAAGTAAAAGATAAGCAAATGTTACGGAAAGTACAAGTAAATGCTACCTATAAAAAAACAAAAAAAAACATTTAAATGACGTTACTTTTATAATGTATTTAAGTATTTGTGCAATCAGTTCTTGAGCTAATACACCTACGTCTTATAAGTCAAAATCTAGTGTCCAATAGCAAGTACATATAAACAAACAGTATGATTTACTTGTAGGCCTTTTGTAGTTTTTCTTCAGGCCTAAAGCCGATTCAAATTTATTTATTAAGCTTAGCTTTTAGAACACTATAGGGGGCCTGGCATGGCCTAGTGGTTAGGACTCTCCATTCGCAATATGTGGGTCGCAGAATCTGAATCCCTTCAACGAACATACTCGCCCTTTTAGTCGTAGAAGCGTTATAATGTGTTGGTCAATCCCACTATTAGCTGGTAAAGAGTAGCTCAAGAAGAGCTGGCGGTTGGTGATGTTGGGTATCTGCCCTCCCTCTAGTCTATCACTTCAAAATTAGAGACGACTAGCGCAGATAGCCCCCAGATAACTCTGGACAAAATTCAATATAGTAAAAAAAATCCACTTTATTGCGTAACAAAGCAACCATATAACTAGTCTATACTCCCCACCTAACGTAGCAGCTTTGAAAAAAAATTATTTGTTTGTTGGACTATTTGCATTAGCTGTCCCTAATTTTGAATTGATAGACCAGAAGGAAGGCAGTTGGTCAACACCACCCACCGTCACCTCTTGGAATACTACTGTCTGACCAAATAGTGGGATTTAACTGTCACTTTTCTAACGTACTCACTTCCTCGAAGTGTGTAGCTAGTTCTTTATCATTCTTTTTTATTTGGTGGTAACAGGACATGGTTAAAGAAACCTCAACTAATCATTGAATCAACTCAGCCTTTTCGAAAAAGACATCTTCAAAAATACGTTCATTAACACGGAGAAAATTAAATAGAAGAAAATTTAAGGATATAGTTTACAAGTCAGTGTTCGGAAAAAGCGACGCAAAACGTTTTTATTTTAGTATATAAGAATAGAAAACAATATTCATAAAACAAAGAAACAGCTTCCAGCGTTCAAAATCGTATTGTCAAAATTGTATTTTATTTCAAATGATTATATTATTGCAATAAAAGTCAGTCCTAAGAACTTATGAGTACAAGCAAAGGAGGAAATGTTATAATATGTCAACATCTGTCATAGCCATTGCCGGTGAGGTTCTTCGCCCAATACCAGGCTTACCAAGCCGACTGGGATAGCAGTGGTCTAGGCGCTATTTACATCATCAGGGTTAGAGCAATAATTAACCCTGAAACATTAATAAGTATCACAATAAGCCTAAAATGTAATAAAAGTACAAGAAGCTGAGTCTACCGAACTAAACCAACTGAAGTGAAGCAACAAAAAATACGGCAGCTAGAATACTCTAATTTTACAAACTTTTAACTGACAGAAGTAAAACAAGCCAAAAATAGACTTTTAACCAAAGATGTGAAGTAAGCCTAAAATACTGTAATGTTATAAATTTAAAAAACACATGTGAAACAAGCCTAAAATGCTCTAAGTTTCGCAAATACTTTTGAAGAACACAAATAACGTAAACTTAAAATACCCTAATTTCACAAATTTTTAACTGACAGAAGTAAAACAAGTCAAAAATAGACTTTTAACAAAAATTGTGAAGTAAGCCTAAAATACTCTATTTTTCAAAGTTTTGAAACTAAACAGGTATTAAAAACTTCCTTTTCTGAGGTTCTTTTTTTTAATGTAGTCTTCTTAATTGAAAACACATTATGTTGTCGGATTTTTGAATGAAATGTGTTTAACTGAGACTGCTCGGAACGTTTTATGATCTAAGTGTGAAAATGCACCTTACTAACCCGTGATACATAAGACTCTGCTGCAGCTCTTTTGCCGTGTTTCACGGTTCATTTATATAAAACATGATAGCCAAGCTGTAGTTGATAACATTCCATCCCAGCGTGTGCGAGAGTTTTTGTCAAATGAACCGCTTTAAGTCTGAAAGTCGTAATGGCTACGTTTAGGTACGTACCGTCACGAAACCCACCACTGAGTGGAGGGATTCTTCGAAGCAAAATTTTCTCATTGAGACAAACTGTGCCTGTCATCATTCATCTCATCCCATTCGCTTCATAGGGGGATATTTTATGCCCCCTTCTTTCTCCTTTAGTAGTCGTCTCTATCATAGTGTACTGATGATGTTTTATAAAAAAGAAAGTGTTCAACAACATGAGATTTGCAGCTGATTTGTGAAAAATATTTATATATATATATATTGGATGGAAACAAATTACTATAAATCTACTAATTCTTTTAACACTTCGTTTTATACTGGCCCATTACGGGTTTCTATTTACAATAGTGAATTATTATTTTGTACGCCGCTGTCGACTACACTTTTCTATTATTATTTTATTTGGTGCGAAATTACACAATCTGCGTTGCATCCGGCACGGGGATCGAGCATACATTTCTAGCGTTATAACCCATTAAGCTTAATGCTGAGCCAGTAGGAGACTTCGAGACTTACTTAACACCAAGTTTCATCAAATCGGCTGGGTTCAGTACTCAACGTTTTTATGTGCTAATTATCTAGGTTTAAGAAACTATCAGAACGACTTCCCTGGTAGATCAGCAGTAAAGTTTAAACACTTAAATGCTAAAAATCCTAGGTTTGATTCTCCGCAGTGGACAGAGCACAGATATTGTAGCTTTGTGTTAAAACAAAATAGGTTATCAAAAACACAACAAAACTGTTAATAATTTTAGCACTTTATCATTCTTAACTGTTCCAATCGTTTCTTGACCTTTGATCTAAATTGAAAAGTGTTCAAGCTATCGAGCTATGTTTACTTGAACTGCAACTTATGCACGCAGGGGCTAATCAGCCAGGTCAGAGACTCCTAGGGTTCAGGTATAGTCCCTAATTTTAAGCTACTTACTACAAAAAAAAAGGTTGCCAGTCAGTAGTACCTGCCGTCATAGTGGTGTTGTTCAGCTCCTTCAACCGAATAATGGGGATGACTTTCACTTTTAAAATACCTCAAAACTAAAAATACTGGACTTATGATAATGGCTTTATCTCGAAACTAAGTTTTCAGCAGTCATTGGTCCGCTGTGATGGCCTAAACTGTAAAACTAAAACGTTTGAAACTTTCTCTCGTAGTAAAATAGTATATAATTGCATTGTATACATAAACGATGTGTACACAGACGGACTTGTTGTTATCATATGATCACATAATGTACACAGACGGACTCGTTGTTATCATATGATCACATAATGTACACAGACGGACTCGTTGTTATCATCTGAGCACGAAATGCACACAGAGAACTTGTTGTTATCATATGATCACAAAATGTACACAAACAGACTTGCTGTTATCATATGATCACAAAATGTACACATGCAGACTTGTTATCATATGATCACAAAATGTACACAGACAGATTTGCTATTATCATCTGATCATAAAATATACATAGACGGACTTTTTGCATCATCTGATCACAAAATGCACACAGAAGGACTTTTTCTGGTCGGCTATACCTGAATCTTACCTGTCTCTGATTGGTCGTTCAGTCCATGTGCACATAGGTGCCATTCATATTGAAAATTCCAATTCTGTCAAATATTTTAATTTCTTTTTACGAAATTACTCCACAATAGTTGTTGTTCTTTGTCGATTTGAAATCTATGCTTTCGCCCTGACAAACTAAAATAAAGGTTTCCAATATTTTTACGAAACTTATCAGTTATTTATATATATATGCGATTTGGTTAGTTTTACTTCTATATTGCACAGAAGTAATAAAATACAGTTCTTTACTTCAACTATGATAAGCCTCATTTATGAACAGCATATAATCCAAGTTCTTCCAGGCGGTAACATTTTTCTAAACACAACTTTTTCAGAAGTGTACCGGTAGCGTTGAAAGGTCATGCGCAATTTCAAGTGAATATAACCCACAAAACGCGTAAAAGTATTATGGGTTGTGCACATACGCATTAAAACATAAATGTTGTTCCCAGTATATTCCATTGCTAAATTAATTAGAAAGAAAAATAAATTGTAACTGCATGTACCTAATGTCATAAAGGAACTAAAAATGTTGAGGATTTTGCTGCTTCTCTGTTATGTTGAATAAGTTATAAAAAACATATATGGCTTCTAAGATAAATATATATGTCTCTGGATTGGCCAGGTGGTTAGGACGCTCGACTCGCAATCTGCGGGTCGCGGATTCGAATCCACGTCACAACAAACATGCTTGCCCTTACAGCCGTGGGAGCTTTATATAATGTGACGGTCAATCCCACTATTCTTTAATAAAAGAGTAGCCCAAGAGTTGGTGGTGGGTGGTGATGAGTAGCTGCCTTCCCTCTAGTCTTACACTGCTAAATTAGGAAATGGCTAGCGCAGATAACCCTCGTGTAGCTTTGCGCGAAATCTATAACAAACCAAGTCTCTGGATTATTCGATAATTAAGCTAGGAATATATATTTGCCCTAGTATTTCATATATGAAACAAAAAAAATAAAATCTATCGTGAAACAGTTTATTTTCATCACAAATGAAAACGCTATTAATGATTAAGTTTAGTTTTCCTAAAATTTATAAACTCTTATATTTGATGTCCTACAGTGGCTCAACGACAAGTCTGAAGGCTAATGACGCTTAACACGGGCTTTGATACCCATTGGGCACAGCACAGATAGCTCATTTTTTGCTTAGTGCTTAACAATAAACAAACTTATATTTGTTAAAGAGGAAATAATAATAATAATCGTAAGAAAAGCTGGTATTAGTCACCAGATGACGCCATTGTTTGAAATTTGTTAGATAGCCTTGTAATGATCAAAAGTTTGTAAAGTGAGACTGGCTGTTCATTCCTTTATAGAATTTTTAATATATGAAATTCTAAAAAATACTGTAATTTCGATTTTAAAGAGACACCAAATGTAAATAAAACTTAAAAGGATAACTTTTATAACGGATATAGAAGTTACCTACTTCAGTTTCAATAATGAATAAAGCAACATTAGCCAGTCTTAATAATGGATAAAGCAATATTAACCAGTCTTAACATGGGATAAAGCAACATTAGCCAGTCTTAGTATTGGTTAGAGCAACATTAGCCAGTCTTAATACTGGCAACATAGCCAGTCTTAATGTTGGCTAGACTCCCAACAATCATTCTTAATATTAACTCGTTTAGCAACTTTACCAGTTGCTAGGTTTACACAGAATTTTTTATACTGGACGCTTAAGTCACGTGATGTCAGCATAACAAAAAGCTTGAAATAAAAATGTTAATAAACTGGAGTATTAGTTTCATTGTTACACGAACAGAACATTTGTCCAGTTACTTGAACCCTAAAACTCTACATGAATAGTTCACGATGAGTAATCTTGTATGTAGAAATCGTGAAATAATAAATACATTATGGAATGGGGAACTGATGTGGATATCGGAAGCTTTCTTCTCAGGGATGTTTGTTTGTTTTGAATTTTGCGCAAAGCTACACGAGGGCTATCTGCGCTAGCCGTCCCTAATTTAGCAGTGTAAGACTAGAGGGAAGGCAGCTAGTCACCACCACCCGCCGCCAACTCTTGGGCTACTCTTTTATCAACGAATAGTGGGATTAACCGTCACGTTATAACGCCCCCACGGCTGAAAGGGCGAGCATGTTTGATGTGACCTGGATTCGAACCCGCGACCCTCAGATTGCGAGTCGAGCACCCTAACCACCTGGCCATGCCGGGCCTCTCAGGGATGAGTAATATTTATTGGTAAAATTGTTACACCGCAGAATTTATATGCTTTGTTTGTTTGCACAAGGTCTACCTGGATTAGTCGCCTCTTATTTTGAACTGATAGATTAGCTATAAGGCAGCTAGTATCCAGCACCCGCCGCCAAATCTTGAGCCATTCGTCTATAATATACAATGGGGTTTTACCATTACTCTTATAACACACCGAGGATTCCAAAATGCAGAATGCATTTTTTTTTTGTAAGGAATTACAAATCATGAATCTTCATATTTACAGTCAGGGCACTCTAACCACTAAGCTACACCCAGCAAGAATGTAAAACGATTTATCCAAGAATATGGTAGTCATGTAATGAGGCATGTTATAAAATGTTATTGTTTATAAAATGAGGAAACTTATAACACTGAGATAATCGTGATGATACTTTAGCTTATTGACTAATTAACATTTTTACCAAAATAATTACTTAAAACTTTCGGAAAATATGTTATAACTGGCTAATTTTTTCTATCTTAGTAATATCAATAAATATAACTTCCTAAGAAGTGAAATGTTTTTTATTAAAATTACCTAATGAAACTATTGGTATTAATATACTTAGTTTTAACGATGCAAAAAAAAAAAAGATGAAACAAAAATATTTTTAGAATGACTTCTGTTGAGCACAAAGCTACACAATGGGCTATCTGTGGTCTGCCCACCACGGGTATCGAAACCTGAATTCTAGCGTTGTAAGTCCGCAGACATACCGCTGTGCCACTGGGGGGCTTTTTTTAATAGACAAATATCACAAACATTAATACAACTTTATAAAAAATGCTTCATTTTAATGTCTCTAAAAACTGATATAACACTAAATACTCTTCAGCTGTAGAAGTTCGAAGGAAAAAAAATAACAAAAACCTTTTTTTAAGTTTGTTAAGCACAAAGGTGCACATTACGCTATCTGTACTACTCTCGCTGCAAGGTTCAAATCTCGAATTTTAGTGTTATAAGCCCTCGAGTTAATCACTGAGCCACAAAAAAAAGAAACAGTTTTTGAAAAAGAATCGTAGCTGTATGTTTCTTCGTACTTGATTTGTTTGCATGCTTATTTTTCAGATATTATTTGTCTTTTTTTAATTTTCTGACATCAAATTCAAAATAAGTATATAGTTCGCATTTTTCATGATTTTACAGAAACCCTGCTTGCTATTGATGAAAGAAATATTTCTGTTTTTCAGCATCCATTTATCAATTTGT